AATTATGGAATCATTTCCTATTTTCACATAATTAGGAAACCTCTGGTCGATTATCTGGAGAAAGGAATACTGCCAGAGGATCACCTGGAAGCTAGGAAGCTGATCCGAGATGCGACACAATATGCGATCGTGAATGACCAGCTATTCAGAAAGGGTTTGCACAACCCCATGTTAAAATGCTTGAACTCGAAAGGAGCAGAGTACGTCCTCGCCGAGATCCATGAAGGAATAAACGACCATCACATGGGTGGCAAAGCCTTGGCCAGAAAGGCCCTCAGAGCTGGTTATTACTGGCCGACAATGGGGGCAGATTCTAAAGAACATGTCAAGAAATGTGATAGCTGTCAGAAGCATGCCAAGTTAATCCTTTCACCACCTGAAGAATTGAAATGCATCTCGGCCCCATGGCCCTTCTTCAAATGGGGAATGGATTTGCTAGGACCTTTTAAAGCTGTTGAAGGGCAACTCAAGTGGTTGATCGTGGTTGTGGATTACTTCACACTTTGTAGAAGACTTCGGGGGCGCACACCGCATCCGAGAGAGTATTGTTGGTTTTTCCCTGCCATACCATGTGCTTGGTGAATTCAGGCGCGGGAGGAGAATGAGGGGCTTTCATAGTTTGACTGGGGCTAGTGGAAGCTCAGATGTCAGAGCTCTTGGCTTTTTCTTTTGAAGTGGCTACAGTGGGAGAATCAGCAGCTGAAACCTTGGCTTTACCCGGACCACCTTGAGAGGAGTCAGGGGCTTTCCTCTTCTTGTCGGACCCAGCCTTGGCCTGGTTTAATGCGGCCAACCAGCTTGGAGGATCATTTTGTTGGTTATCCATCAAAGGCACTAGAAATACAAACACAACAAGTTAATGTTAAAGCAATACGGCTAATATGCAAATGCCAGGTTGCTAGAAATAGTTCATACTTAATTCAGCGTCGAGTTCATCTTTGGACTTGAATAGAAGGGATGCGACACTAGCATGCTTATGTGACAGCTTAAATGTGCCAATGGCAACGGCACTGTCGATATCAGATGAACCCAAATCGGTAACTTGAAAACGGTAGCTGGATGGGGGAAGCTAATAGTGGTCAGAAGACCAATGCAAAAGGAATTTTCCCTCACCACACTCGGCATGAGAAGTGTCAACAAACCAGACACTCTTGCCGGGATGGGCGGAAACTTTAAAGAATTTATCCTGGAAATTCTTAAAGGACTCAGTATAAACTTGAAAAAGTTTACGGTGGGGTAAACCTCGAAGGGTGACCCACCCTTTTCGGCTGGCGGGTTCACGACCGGTCCGAGGAGTTAATACTTGAAAAAAGAAGAAGAATACACAGATAGAAGCTGGAATAGAAAGGTATGAGCAGAAACGCTCGAAGGCTTTGACGAAGCCCCATCCATTGGGATGAAGCTGGGTGGGAGCTATTTGAAGGTGGTTCAGAAGATCAATTTGAAAATTCGTAAAAGGAAAACGGACGCCGAGTTGAGTCACAACATCTCGGAAAAAGAAAAAGAAATGCGGCTCTTCTGGCCTCCCACTGAAACAGACGGGCTCGTCTCTTCTAAGGGGGGGTTATATCACAATTCGCTAAATCCCCCACGGAGAGGGCGGCAACGTCATCAAAAGCCATCTCCGATACAATACTTAAAACTTCATGCGTTACCCAAGGAAATTGGGTTATTAAAGAAGATGAAGGAGATGGAGAACACGACTCAGTAGAACTGGACTCTCCTAATACATCTGATGGAGGAGATGCCATAATACCTAGAAACAAGGAAAGGTAGGAATCAGGAAAAAATCAAAATACCTTAATCACAAACGCTATCAGAGGAATCACTAGACGACGATGATGATGACAAATAAGAAATTGTGATAGGATCATCTGCTCCTTCTGATGGGCGAATAGGTTTATCTCCATGCCGACAAGTCACCAACATGGACTCGGCTAAAGAGTCACAATCGCGGTCAGCAAGCTTGCTGCTTAAATAAGTGCAGGAGTAACATGGGCCATTACCGGGGAAAGAAGAATGCGGCAAATCACTACTTGACATCTCGGACACGCTTCGAGACATACCACCACAGCAAGCTCGTAGCATGGTTTCCTGCCCTTCTTCTTCGATCCAAGGGATTTCTCAGAGCCAGAAATGAACACCAGGAGAAACGTTTTTCAAAAATCAGGAAACTAAAGATGGAGAGTTTTTCCCTGATTCGCTCAAGAAACGGAGAAAAGGCTAAGTATCAAATACAAAAGGAGGGCATGGAAGAGGACATGGTGCTAATCACCAGAGCGACAACAGGGAACATAAGTTCTAAGAAATGCACGCTATTGATTCTGGAAAAAAGACTAGAATATCAGCGAAGAAAATATGCAACTCCACATTCATAATACTAAAAAACAAATGCCAGAATACAAATCTTCAAGTAGAAGCAATAAAGAGGAGATAATGTGTGACATACTTCTTGAAGTAATGAAACAGAAGTGTCAAAATGCAGATGAAGAAAGGTTGATGTGCGACGATCAGAGAGCACACAGACGAAAACAATGGAATAATGCTGATGCCAAATGCTCAGAAGTAAAACGAAACCATGTAAGAAGAAGAGAGGACTTATATAGGCAAGATTAAGACTACTGAGTGGCGCATAGCAAAGGTCAAAGCTATTTAGGTCTTTTTGCCCTCAAATCATAACTGCCAGATCGTGGGTGGAAACCGCAATCATTATGTGCGGAAACAACAACACGGAGGAGGCTAAGGGGCAGGGGAAAAATTGCCACTTCACTCCATAAAGCAATGATTTGACAACTAAAATGATGCTGCAATAAATGCGCACGAAACGCAACGACGGCATAAGAACGGCTGCAGCACGCTAAAGCACGCGGGCTGGAACACGTGGCACAATGCAATGAGTACAATTCAAAAAACTACATATAAGACAAGGTTTATATGTACGAACAGTTGATCACCGCGTTCGAACCTGATGCTTGGGATAATAGTGAACTCACGATTATTCAAGCCCAGCTTCTACCCGGTCACACAACAAAAACTTAAACGGGTTCGTCAGCAACCCGACCAACAAATCACCAGTCATACATGCATAGCCCAGATACTTGACGACAATGGGGGTAGACTAAGGAGTTAAATCGCGCGTCATCTACCCGGTTACTCCAAGAAAGTATTGACAGGTTCATGAACGACCCGTCCACCAAATAAACATGCAGATAAAGTCCGACAGAAGGAATGCCGCTCGAGGGTAACCCGCAAGTGGGACTAAAAGAACTCAAGCGTATTCCTAACCCGAACGCGTAATATGGTTGATGCTCAACCAGTAAAGCAACGAGAGGGAAATGGCGAAACACATACCATAAGCCAAGAACTCGAAATCAACACGCATGCTGACATTAGGATGCAACCCGAAAGAACGAGATCGCCCTCGACCCGAACAGTGGGGTAGGAAAAATATCTCACTGGGTTGATGCTCAACCCGTCGACACAAGGGGGCAAGGGACACCTCGCGATAAGAACATTCTCTCATAAGCAGAACATGCAAATTTACAACAAACGCAAACCCATTCAGGGGCACAAACCTGGAAGACACACATAAGTTCACCCCGACTACCCGGACACCCTGGTAGCCGAGCTGGGGGGCAACTGTTATGGACCCGTATAATGGGCCCATTAAGTAGCAAGCCCAACAAGGGGCAATCCAAGATATGGATTGATGCTAATAAAGGATAGATATCCATCAAGGTCAAGGATACCAATCCTAATGCGACATCATAGCTATCAGGCCTGGACCCTCACCGTAGGAACCAAAGGCTCATCCACACTACCTACAGGTAACCTCTATAAATACAAAGGTAAACCCTAAAGGTATGTACGCTCTCTCTTACTGTTATGCTGTCACTGTGCGCACACACACCCCATTGGCTAACGCCGTTATAGTATTCTGTGCACAGTGATCTGCTTGACTCAAGGGTATCTCATCTATAGATACCTTGGAGAGGACACCAGATCCAAGATTAACATACTAGCCTATTGGGCTGGACATCTCTGTCTCAAGAACAGAACACAATTATTCCCTTAATTCTTACGAATTGATATTTTCGTCGAGAGTAAATCAATGCAAAAGGACCAACATGTAAAAGAATGACATAATATATATGGGAAGAGAAATGGTTGTTTTATTAAAAAAAAGACAAAGTAAAAGCCGTTGTAAATTGTAATTGTAAATGAACAATGACATTGAATTTTTTCACCTGACCGTTAACAATTTAGGGAGCGGATACTTTCATAGTTTCATATCTTATTTAATATGACATAGTTATATCGAGGAATTATAATTTTATAAAGCTAATAATGATGATTTGAAAAAAATATTAGAATAAATAATTACAAAATTATTATTATTAATTTATTTTTGTATAATTATAATTTTCCACGTAATCATAACATGTTGCATAAAATACGAGGGATCGATTTCCAACATTTAAAACGACATGCAATTGCAATGTTATATGGGTTAGTGTTTGTATTTTATACTACGTAAAATCATTATTATATTTTTAATGGGCTACATAAAATTATTTTATGTGACTTTAAAACGATGTTTGTTTTGGAATTGAGGATTTTTTTTTTTTTTTTTATATTTTAAAGCAATATCTTATCATGATAAAACTGTTCCCACAACTCCAAAATTAACTTTATATTTGAGTCCCATAAAAAATATTTTATTCATGTTATGCTCACATTAAATAAGATAATAATATTCCTAATTGGTTAGTCTCTCTTTAGCAATACCGTTTTCGTTGTGAACTTGAATTCAAGCAAATGAATTCTATATAGAATAACTATTTAAAAATTTATTTTTCAATGAAGTGTTAAAATATGATTTAGTAATTAGATAAAAACTTTAATTAGTTAAAAAAAATGACAAAACTTATTACTCATCTCAAGCAGGGGTATTATAGTCATAGTACATCAAAATCAAAACCCTAGTTATCAATACCCTAGTATTAATATTCGTTCTTCGTTTGACATGCCGCCATTGTCTTCTCTCTGAGCTACTGCTTCAAAATCTGGAACGTCTCCTTAGATTCCAATTCCAATGGTAAGCCACTGCTTCTGTCAATTGTTTGTCTTTGTCAATCTCTCTTGTATGCTTCTCTTTCTCTCTCTTAATTCGAAGCCCTTTCTTTGTTTTATGTCGTTCTGTTTCTGAACTGAAATAAATGCACAAACAGGCTTCAGAGAAGAAACTCTCGAACCCCATGAGGGAAATCAAGGTGCAGAAGCTCGTCCTCAACATCTCCGTCGGCGAGAGTGGCGATCGTCTCACCAGAGCATCCAAGGTGTGTGTGTCTATATATATATATATATATATATATATATATATATATTATTTTTGTATAATTTTTTTCTTCATTGTTTGTTTTTACCCTTTTATTCAAATTTGTTCTTTTTCTATGTTATAGGTGTTGGAGCAGCTCAGTGGGCAAACCCCAGTTTTCTCTAAAGGTTATTTTCTTTAATTGCTTCTGCCTTTCTTTTATCTTTGGTTACTTGTGAAACACAATTACAAAATTTGTTGCTATTTATTTGTTAAAAAAATGTAATGTAGTTTTCAAATTTATGATGGGAAATATATTGGGTTTTACTTTTGTACAGTTTTGTTTGATTGGTGAAAATATGGTGGAAATGGAGACTAAGTGTGGATATAAGCATTTTTTCAGCATTTCTGAAAGATTTAGGTTTAGTTTTACCTTGAGTTTTTATTCTTGTTCCCTACTAACTTGGCAAGTGCTTGTCGCTGTTGGGTTAGCAGACTTGCTTAAGCGGCAGGTTTGCCTTGTGATTTATATGTTTGTTGATGTTAATGATGTGTAATTTGTAATATCTTCTTGCAAAATGGAGTGAAAATGCGTATGAATCAGTATCCTTGACTTTTGAAGTACTTATATGTGTTTAAGGTCAGTGATATAATTGCTTTTAAGTTGGGGAACTCAAGCAACAACAGTACTGAATGCAAATAAAAAGTAAGGGCTCTATAAACTGAGTCAACAGCAGGGGTACATTCATTGGCCACCTGACTGCCGCTTGGAGCCAAAATGAAAATACCAGAAGAAGATCCTTGAAACCCCCGGGTTGTTTTCAAGACACAATATCTGGTGAAATTCCTGGGTCTATATTCCGTAGTTCTAAGTAAATCCTATTGAAAAAGAGTGTTTCAAGTAACAATTTGAACTTTATTGTATTTGATATTTCCTATAAGACCATTTGATTGTGTTTACTTTTCCTTTTACCTTTGAAACATGATTGAAAATGAAGGAATGGTTATTCCTGAATAGTAATATCCTTAAATACAACATTTTTGAGCTTAAATAAGTTGGGTTGAAAGTCACATTTCCTTAAAATAAAACAAATTTCTAGTTGTGACTACCAATCTGCTAAATATTCTCACATTCATTATATATTGGGTTGTTCACTGATTGTTTCTTGCTTTTTATTGCTTGTTGACAGCAAGGTACACTGTCCGCTCCTTTGGTATTAGAAGAAATGAAAAGATTGCATGCTATGTCACTGTTAGAGGTGAAAAGGCAATGCAGCTTTTGGAGAGCGGTTTAAAGGTGAAGGAATATGAACTTCTGCGAAGAAACTTCAGCGACACTGGGTGTTTTGGCTTTGGTATTCAGGAGCATATTGATTTGGGAATCAAGTAAGATAGAAAGTTTTTTTGCTGAAATAAGTTTATTATTTTGTTGTTGATATACTTGTTTTGCAGTATGTGAAGCTGCTATAAACTAGTATAAAACTATGCATAATTTTTTATCTTCATTTGTCAACTATTCATTTGATTCTACAGAGGAAAGTGGCCAATGCTATCAGGTTTTAAAAGTTTGGTTGTAGCTAATTCCCAAGTGTTCTTCACTGGGGGGAGTGATTTACATAAGCTTGGCCGAGATATTTATTGTAATACATGTTCAATTCACAGTTATGTTATGAGTTTTGCTGGTTTTGCATACTGACCCTTTAACTCAAACAAATTGAAATTCAATCCATGGTTGTCTTTGAATATTATTTTCTCTGTCTATGTGAACTGGATTTGGTTTCTTCTCTCCTCTTTGTATGATTTAGTAATTCTCTTATTTACGTTGGACATTGATTCTACATCAGGTATGATCCTTCTACCGGTATTTATGGAATGGACTTCTATGTTGTTCTTGAGCGCCCCGGTTATCGTGTTGGACGTCGTCGTCGATGCAAGTCTACTGTTGGGATTCAGCATCGTGTCACAAAGGATGATGCTATGAAGTGGTTCCAGGTGAAATATGAAGGTGTGATCCTCAACAAATCACAGGCACTTGTTGGTTAGATTGGACTAGTTGTTAGAGAATTTTATAAGTTTTGTTAATTTTAATTTGATGATTTTTGAACTAGCAGCTTAAATTTCTGAAATATTAATGCGTGACCATATGAGTTTTAATGCATTTATTTCGAACTTTATTTTTGGCATCTTTATTGATATCGTGTTGTTGACACTATGAATTGAATGTTCTACGCTTTGCATTCATCTAGCCATTATGATGTCCATTGTTGAAAGCGCTAGTTGATAAGCTGATTTCAATTACCCTGAATTGTGGCTACTATTTATTAATTCGTTGTTGTCTAATTAAACACGTTGAGTGACAAAACTTTGCATTGTTCTTAGTGTTGTATATAGTTTGAACCGCATATATTGGCGATATGAAGCACATCACAATGTTTAAAATCGAAATTTAGCGGTCTCTTCCGTCGGCCAAGTGATTTATGCACTTACTCGGAAATGGAAAGAAATTTTTTGCTTTGATATGTTATTTTGGCTTAAAGAATCCATTGACTCCACAACATTCAATTAAATCCTTTAAAATGGAATAATTCCGATAGTCTAGAAAAAAATATACTATTTCTACAAAAAATATAACAAGTCTTTTAGTGGAGATACTGGAAATGACATCAGTTTTCGAATGGGAGTAGACTGACAAATTTATTTCTCCATATTCTATAAAATATTTCTTTTCCATATTTATTCTATATTGTAGGTATGAAACTTAAAAAAAAAGAAAAGAATGAATTTTGGCATAATAGTATGAGTAAATATAAAAATGGAAAACGAGGTGAAGAAATTTTACCATGGCAATGAAAATCAATGGGAAGGGATGAAGTTCGGGTATAAAATGTCCAAGAGCCTAATCCATCTTAGACATTTTTTATATTATTTTTTGGAGATATCACTCTACAATGCTTCATCTATTTCTTACAGCCAATTTGTTTCAGTTTAACATTTGAATGCGCATAAATTTTCAAGTGAAACTAGTTGCAGAGCTATACTGCTTCCACTAGTGTTGAATTATACCATGAAGAAATATGTCTGACCTCCATTATTAGCACTAGTGGCCTGAAAAATGACATTGTGCACGGGAATAAAAAATTAATACCAGTTAGTTGGCCTCCAAATAATATAGTGTTAACTGGTAGTAAATTAATCCAGATGATGTAGAGTTACAATTGTCAAATGCATTTGCAGTAGTTTAGGCCTGAATGTGAAACGCACAAGGGCTTAAAAAATGTCCACTCATAATCCCCCCTCCCTCCCTATATAAACTCTATTACATGAGCATAAATCAAATCCCAGAAACTAACACTGAAAATCTAGGTCAGAGGAAATAGCTAACTTTCCAAATCATTACCTCCAAATCAATTAAGAGCCCAAACGAAAAAGTCATTTATATTTTGCAAAGTCAAATCGATACTCCTCCACCAAAGGGGTCAATGACAAGCCTACTAGTAAAGTTGAAGTAGCTATGATCAGTACATGAATTGTTAATTGAGGTCAAATATGTCATAATGAGGGAAATTCAGTAGCTGAAATGATCATTCCTCAAAGCCGTATTTTATTATGCCTTGTGAAGTAAAATATGGGGCCAAGGGAAGGAAGGAATGAACGGGAATTTAGTTTTAATTGAAAAAGTCAAGAGCAGTCATCAGTTTATCATTTAAGCAGTAAATGACAGAGCATTAGGTGTGTAATATGAGCCAATGTTTTCAAAATCGAGTTTCTACTTAGAAACGGAAGGCGTGGTAGAAACGTAAATCGTAAAAACGACACGAAACATAAAATTTTTACTACTTAAGGTCAAGATATAAAATTATATATGGAAAAAGTTATATTTACAAATTTTTTGTTTACAAACTACACTAAGTATAACCGGTCATACTTCAATCAAGAGTGTATGACAAACTCTAACAAACTACACTAGATATGACTGGTCATACTTCAATCAAGAGTGTATGACCAGTCTTAGTGTAATTTGTAAAAAAATTTTGTAAACGAATTATTCTCCATTATATATATATATGTATGTAAAAAAAAAATCACATGAATCACTATTCAAAATTTAATGAATAACTTCATATTTAAAAGATATAAGTCATATAACTATATAAGACATAAGTCTAAAAACACAAAAAGAGAAAAATTAAGTTTAAAATAAAAATAAAAATAAGGGTTTAAAACAAAAATAAAAAATAATTGAGTTTAAGTAAGAACGCAAAAAATTACGTTTCTACTGTTTTTGCGTTTATACTCGTTTTTACTAAGGACCATTTTTACTTGTATTTTAACACGTTTTTACATTGCGTTTCTACCGTTTTTACGTTTTTAGACTAGTTTTTGACAACAATGATATGAGCCATTCTTGAGCTGTCATCATTTATTATGATTGTTGTGGCATTATTTTTTACATCTTGAAGCACTCAAACCAAGGCAAGGAAAAGAGGTGGTGCAAGAGGTTTCAACAAAATTTGAGCTGATTCACCAGAACTTCAGGCCATTGCTGGCCAGCCAGCATTGCTAAAGATTAGGATTTGTACTAATATTTTTTAAAGTTCATCCTTAACTTATTTTCATATAGTTTTTAGCAAGATTAGAATACTGTGAAATGACATTGGTTAAGATTGTAAAGCAAGTGTGGCTGGTATTTGAGACGGATTGTGCTGATATGTTGAAGATGAATAAGTCAATAACAGAACTCAAAGTGAAGCAACACGGGTTAAGCGTAAACTAAAGCTTTAAGTCAAGCAAAAAGAAAACTATATTATTCTGCACAACAACATGACTTCAGACGAAGTAAGTAGACTAGGTGTACAAAATTATATACAGAGACAAATAGAAAGCTGTCGAACCTACAAAGTTGCCTAATCTCCTTCAAGCAAGTATGAAAATCAGACCCTGGTTTTTTCTAGCAGGGCATAAAATGTATATTGGTTGTGTTTTCCTGGATTGACTACGGTAGCAGTAAACAAGCAATCATAACAAAAGCATCCAATAAACATAAACAATTTTAAGAATGTGTTGAGGTCTCTATCATGAACCAGGGCTGTTCCACTCCATTTTCCTCAACGTGTTACTTGTTGGCCATGTTGGGCGAAAATATCTTCATTGTTATCGATGCACTGAGTTTGCATTCTTCATTCACAATGTGACACGTGTCTTACTTTTTATTAAATCACTCTTTCAATTGATATTAAAATAAATTATTTATTAATAATTTTACAAAAACAAGACACGTGTCACATTGTGAGTAGAAAATACACTGAAAACTTAGTGTATCGATAGTATTGACGATATTCTCGTGTTGGGCATGCTATTGGCCAGTGTCATTTATATATATAACTAGTCTCAGGGCCAATACAACAGCATTATAAAAAGTTCAACAATAATTGAAGCCGTTTGAATTTGAATTAAGCATGGCATATTTTTTCTTTAGTTTACTAGTACTGGCACTTATATTTGGTATTGCCTCTAATGTTTTGTTCATACCAGCTGTTATTGCTAACGAGATGACAGCTTCTGGTTCCTCAAACAAAAATCAAGAACAAGCAGCTTTGCTCCAGAGTGGTTGGTGGAATCATGACCGAAACATATCAAACCATTGTAATTGGAGAGGTATCACATGTCATGAAGCTGGAAGCATAGCAGAGATTTCAGCTTTGAAAACTCCTCCACCAGAATTTCAGCGGTTTCAGAACTTGAAGTTAACTGCCTTCACCAATTTAGTCCGTATAGATCTTACTGGGTTGGGACTTACAGGAAATATCCCCACAGAAATAGGCACACTTACGAAGCTTTCCTATATTGACCTCTCTTACAATAGCCTTCAAGGTAAGTTGCCTAAAGCACTTTCAAATCTCACTCAACTTGAGTGGCTTGATGTTTCTAATAACCATATTGAAGGTACCATACCAGAAGAATTAGGGAATTTATCCAATTTAGAGGGATTATATCTTTCAAATAATTTACTTAATGGTTCAATCCCTTCTACTTTGGTTCAATTAGGGAATTTGATTTATCTTTCCCTTAGTTCTAACCAAATTGAAGGTCCAATACTAGTAGAGCTAGGAAATTTGTCCAATTTAAGGGGATTATACTTTTTGAAAAATTCACTCACTGGTTCAATCCCTTATACCTTGGGTCAATTGAAGAATTTAGTCCATCTCTCCCTTGATTCTAACCAAATTGAAAGCTCCATACCAGTAGAACTAAGGAATTTGTCCAATTTAATAGGATTATACCTTTCAAATAATTCACTCACTGGTTCAATCCCTTATACTTTGTGTCAATTGAAGAATTTGGTCTATCTCACCCTTGATTCTAACCAAATTGAAGGTCGCATACCAGTTGAACTAGGAAATTTGTCCAACTTAGAGGAATTGCATCTTTCAAATAATTCATTCACTGGTGCAATCCCTTATAATTTGGGTCAACTAGAATCTTTGGTCTATCTCTCCATTAATTCTAACCAAATTGTAGGCCTCATACCAGTAGAACTAGGGAATTTGTCCAATTTAGAGGAATTATATCTTTTGAATAATAACATCTCTGGTGTTATACCTCAAAATCTTCTTCAAATGACCGAAATGCATTCTCTGCATCTTTCATCAAATCAGTTGTATGGTTCAATACCATCAGAGATTGTGAAAGCCACCAGACTTCGGGATCTAGACCTTTCCCACAACAAACTTATAGGGTCTATCCCATTTCATATCCTGAATTGTCCCTCTGCTGCAACAATGGATTTAAGCTACAAATGGAAGCATTCCTTCCCAAATTGGTTGTTTTGTTACCCTTAACCTTAGCCACAATTTTCTTAAGGGTGAGATTCCATTTATTTTGGGACCAAATTCCATGGTAGACAAGTTGGATCTTAGTTATAATAATATCACTGGTAAACTATACAAGGAGCTTGCTGTTTTAGAGTATGTAAACCTTTCATACAATTCCTTTGACTTTTCAATAGATCTTGATTTTGAGTTACAATCACCAAACTATTGTTATTTCAAGGAAGACTCATTAATCAGTTACAACACACCAAATTTCGCTTTCTATCATTCTGTCCACCACACTAGTAAAGCTAAGCCTTTCATTCTAATTTCTCTTCCTATCATTTGTTTCATTGTTCTTGTACTTCTTTCAACA